GAGCAATTGTAATTGGATAAACTTCAATTACAAATTATTGAAATTAATTATGGCTCAATTACACATTGCAAGTAATTGTAATTGACCCTGTAATGAATTACTTCGTGTAATCATTAAGCTCCAAACTTGCTCTCGGCATTAATTCCCCTGCTTTTGGAAGAAACCTTGTCTCGTAAGAGGCTCGCAGTGACATTGCAAGTTCTTGTTGAGTTCAACAATAATCTTTTTAGAGTAATGCCTCCAAGAATTGGACATGTTTTTGTAATTTGAACAATCTTTGTCATTGGAGTCTTCTGAACTGAACAAACCATTCCGCATATGATGCTTTAATGGTACAAATACCCTTGTAAATTACACATTTTTAAGTTTTACATTCATCATCAGTCATCTTAGACTTATTTTACAAAATTAAAATTCAACCGAAATCATATATGATTTTAATTCATAAAGTAAAATTTGTTCCTATTAATTAATACAATTTACAACATAACATTTTAGTTTCTCATAAAGTTCATACCTTCTTCTACCTCCTTCCTCTCTCTCTCTCCCTCCCTTCCTTTACTTTACATATCCTTTATAAATACAAAAGTATGTATGTATGTGTCTGAATAAGTATTTTAACTTTTAATGATGTCCTTACATGTTGATGTATATTAAAATGTACAACACAGTGGGATGCTTTTAAGGAAACTTTTTTCGAACAATGACTGTTAGTTGCGTGTTGTTTGTTGTTGTTGTTTTCTCTCTTTTCCTGTCATTGTAACTCTATTGTTTTGTGTCGCTTGCTTTCGCTCAGTATGATGTATAAATATTTTCCCTTTTTTTTATATTTTTGTTCATACAGGAATTTCTAATAAGGTATCATCAAGGATTTTACAGCACAGACATGCACACACACATACACCTACAAATACTTATTTATTTATGAAAGTGTATGTGTCAAAACGACATAAAATAAAATAAAAATGGAGTAAAAATAAAAAGAATGAAAGACAAAAAGTAAAAATAATGCTTATCAATTTTAACACACCATTTCTGTGTACAATTAAATAATGTATAGTATTTTGTTAAAAATATATGTGTGTATGTGTGTAAGTGTAATGTATGCGTGTGTGTCTGTTAAGTGTAGTGTAATATTTATGTAAATTTTAATCAGTATTGTACAACCTTACTTTAGTTGTAGATGATAGATAGTATTTTCCACAATTGTGTATGGATATGTAATGGAAGGAGCTTAAAGTTTATACAGTTATAAGTAAAGCACAGTGGTTTGCTTTGTTACAAAAAGTTTTAAATTCGAAAATTAAGGTTTTAAAGTGTTAATACACGCGTTAAGTTAATTTAATATTATTTTAATTATGTCCATAACACAGGTCGACAAATTTTAGACCAAAACATACTTTTCTAAAGGATTTTGCTGCACTTAATCCATTCATTCGAAGAAGAAAGAAGATATGTCAGATGTTAGGCCTTGATTTTTTAAGTTGACAAAATGGACTTTCAGATGGCTTTCAACATTTTAGAAATAAATTAGTCTTGGCGCAGTTATAACTATTCAAAAATGGATTTTTCGAACTTCAGGACACGTTATCTTAAATGGTGATGATCAAATGTATCCTCGGCCGGTCCCTGGAATTATTTGACATGTGGTCGAACCAGAGAACCACATAATCTGGTACTACGGCCAGTAGGACTTTGTCCTGGCTGGCCATTCGGTTGAGGTTCCTTCGGGATCCGTATAGTGGCTGTGGTGTAAACCCAAATTCGCGGGGAGAGAATGTCGGTTAAAGGACTGATACATGATGAAATCTATATTCCGGGATAAGCTCGGTGATGTTACCGAAGTCAACAGATACCCCACAGAGAAGTGACTGTGGGACTAAGCGTTGGAGATGAGTTGGTGTTAAATATATATGATACAGGATGAATGTATATGGCTCGTATACCTAGAGTGAGTGTGTTGGCTGAATTAGAAGTGTGCTGGGTTGAATGATGATGGATGAAAGGTATCTGAATTTTCCTTCCTTGTCCAGGTACGTTCATGGAAAATTCTGTTCATACCAGATTTAAAACAGTATGTTCTCTGTGAGTAAGAACAAAGTCCTCGACTTATTTGATGGAATCTTGTTTCGGACTACCGAATTCGTCTCTAGGTGCTGTTGCCAACTCAACAGAAGCCATCGCATCTGCGTGATGTTTTTACATCTCGAAAGTTGAGCAAAGGGGTCAGCAATGTTCGGAGATTGAATGATGTAAAAAAAATTGCCATCTGAGTGTAAGATACACAAAGTGGAGGTGGTGAGTCGTCATAGAATCTCACACAGTGATTGAAAAATACCACCGTGAAATAGGCCAACACGCAGGTGCTCACGTAAGACACTTAGACACATATCTTGTGCGACACGAATGTCGAGGTGATTTACGTGAGTATCTGCCGTGTTGGCTTAACTCACGGTGGTATTTTTCATCCACTGGGTGAGCAAAAATATAACGACTCACCACCGCCTCTTTTTGGTATCTTACACGCAGATGTAGCTAACCAGAGGCAAAATTTATCGGGATCCCAAATGGAATATCATGGAAAAGCGAAACATTAGAGCAAATAAGGATGGCTCTAAACTAAGAGACAAAACGTTTCTGAGGATGTACCTTATCACAACACCAGTTTCCAGACAGATTAATGGAATGTGTGAACTGGATTGGAATAAATATGCCCATGATACTGAATATACCCCCATATTCAGTATCACGAGATCCTTTGCCGTATGATCTTCTAGATGTAAGCTTTGAATCTTCCAAGGACGTAGCGAATTTACTTGCTATAAATAGAAGTTAGCTTGCTGAAGTTAAACACGGCGAATGCAAATCCTTTCAACGCCACAAAGGCAGAATTAAAATCGTGGATGAGGAACTCCCATACGGACATTGTGGCAAACTTGAGCTAACGCACAATAGGACTGATAGGTGTACTTTTTCGAATTGTTAAACGGAAGTGATGTTTTTGCATGTCGGAAGTTAAGCAATACTTGAGCAAAGTGCACGTATACTGGACCGGAAATTCCATATACGTAAATTCCGACCTGCGTGTAAAAAGCACAATGGGGCGGTGGTGAGTCGTCACAAAAGCTCACGCAGTGGTTGAAACAAACACCGTGAAATAGGCCAACACGGCAGGTGTTCACGTATTAACTTCTCATGTCTGCGGATATTGCAAAGCCGTGACTTCCTACGAGTATGTGGTAGAAATTCATTGGTTTGATGGTATTCCACCAGAATTTCAAATTAAAATATGATTTGGAACTGATTCTAGTCACTTAAGCATGGTTGTAGCTAAGAGCCAGATCGTTATTATGTTGCCAAAACCCAGCTTTCCTACGAGAATTTTCAAATATGATCTGATGAAAAGTTGAAAGTCTTCCAAGAGACAGTCCTCGACAAAGGAGCTCAATTAAACCACAAATTTAATATAATCTTGTTAAAGCTAGAATGATTGGAACAAAGACAATGTATTCTCGCCTAATCCTTTGTATATTATTGTAAAACACGAGCAGTTTCCTATAAAACCCAACCTCCGATCTCGCTAGTTCCAAAGAGGTTAGATACTACAGCACTTCATCTCATTTACTTACGGAAATATAGATGTTATCTGGGAAAAGTCAAGAATGAAAGTTTAACTAGATAGCTTATTGGTCACACAGATACATACATATGTTTATAGCTAACTTTTAAAGTTAGAAAATAACAATAGCTTTCAATTAATTAACACGCCATAATGCAAAAATTGTCGTCATCTCTGATCGCTAATTGTATTTGTCAACTAAATTGTCACATTCTACTAATGTCAGAATGTATGTGTATCGTTTTTTTTTTTGTTTTTCTCCTGTAACATCAACGTATCTAAACAATTGCAATTGTATTAATGTGAAAGACTGTATATGTATGTATATCTGTGTGTTCATGTTGACATCTCTAAAGCGTTTATCTGTTTGAGAACAATAACAAAATTTGTATTTGTTTATTTGTCATATTGTACATTAGTATAAGTAAATGAATGTATGTATATATGTATGTGTGTTTATTATTTGTATTTTATTTTTTCACATAATACAATAAAAACCTGAATACAAACACACACACACATATACAAATTCACTTGCATTTCCCACAAAAACCAAACATACAACATTTATTCGTTTATATTTTATCTTAAAATGGTAGTACATCCTTTTTTGGGTTCCCCTTCTCCCCAGCCCTTACATTTTACATTTGTGTCCTAAGCCAAACAGCTAACCATCAAACCAAACACATCCATCCATCCATCCAACAATATTCAGTCAGTCAGTCATTCGTTCATTCATTCAAACTAATTCATTCCCCTTTTTAGTGAATGACGACGACAAGTACCATTTCAGTTTTAATTAGGTTTATGTTCAGCTTAAATATCTATACATATATTCGCAAATCACTACCCTGCAGTTTAGGGTGGCTGTCGAACACTACCTTGAAGAATTAGCTACTTATCAATTGATCTTACACACTCTCTATTTCGATTGCAAATAAAGTCAATTGTCGCTGGGAAAGATTACTACTGGTGGTTTAAATAGTTACCTTCTAAGTGTCTTACAGAAAAGGGACCTTATGTTAAAGTCAAGAAACAAAACTGCAGGGTTGTTAATTCTTCGTCTGTGTGTGTCTTACATACGGGTTGTTAGCAAAACAAAACGCCAAAAAAAAACAACACTCATACACAAAAATTAATTGTCATTTTGTTGTTGTATATTGTATATTTTATAAAACAGACCCTTAAAAACTTGTTTGTATTAGAAATTGTTTGAATTTTATTTTGGTTTCTCTCCCTCTATCGTTTCTTTCAGTGTCAATCTTAATGTTGTATTGTATTATTTTCTATGGCTTTTTCTCAACTTCTGTTTTATCGCTTTAAAATGCTTTCCGATTTTATATTAAAAAGTTACTTTAGAATATTAGTTTTTAGTACTTACGCTTTTGATTTCATTCATTTTTGTAAATTGTCGTCCAAATTCCCATAGATCCACACCGAATTTTAAAGCCCAATTACGAACTCTGTAAAGAAGGAGGAAGAGGAAAGAGGTATGAATATTAAATGTTCCAATTTATTTGTTCTAAAGAATATATTCCTTCGCATTTAGAGGAATAAAAGCAATTTTTTAATTTTAAAGTAATCGAAATTATAACAAAGTTAAACAACAACAATAAAGATCCAAAAGGTGAAGCCTTATAAGGATTTGTTGTAGTAAAACTAGAGCTTATAAAGCTTAAGCAGCGGCGTGTGAGACGAACTAAATTCCTGTAAAAATTAAATATTCAACTCTCAAAATAGGCTGCTTAAAGATTTATATGGCGAGGCCGTATCCCCCACTCTTCTTTGGAAATCATTTCGCCTAAGTTTCCAAAGAAAATACATCCAACTGATTTGTTGGTCAAAAATTTGCGCTTGACACTGCTTTCAGACATAAGGCAATAGGTGCATGGACACACACACCATACGGTCACGCGAGTATTACAGAGTAGATATCTGGTTTCCCAAATAATATCTACTACTGCACTCCCAAATCCTTCTTTCAGAGAAGTTTCGGTTTTACTATCTCCGAAAATTCATCACTGGATGAAGACTATTCGCATAGAAAACTTTTCGTATTCATGGATGCTTCCACACTTAAGCCAATAGGTGCATGGATACACAAACCATACGGTCACCCGAGTTTTACAGAGTAGATATCTGATTTCCCAGATGGTATCTACTACTGCACTCCCAAATCCTTCTTCCAGAGAAGTTTCGGTTTTACTATCTCTGAAAATTCGGAGGAAGACTACTCGCGTAGAAAACTTTTCATATTCATGGATGGTTCCAAAGGAGAGCGAGTTGCTGGTGGCATTTTCATTCCTGATTTCGGGATCAAACTAGTCTTTAGGATACACTACTGGCTAAACTACCAACTACAAGAAGTGCAGAAAATTGGCTTTGGTATAACAGAATATCAAACAGGGATATTCAACTCTAAACCAACAGACAAGCTGCATCTTTTGCGACATCGCGCTAAAAGTTAAGCAATCAACGACTACATAAAAGGTTTTATGAACTTTCCCCAGACAAGATGTCACAACGAGCCCACTTCCATCATTACCAGGAAGATGTGGACAGACTAGTACGAAGATCATTTCATTGACTAGACCGTAGATATAGACCATAGACTACTCCATAGAATAGGTTTACTAGTCCATAGACTCGTACATAGACCAGTTAGTTGTATAGCACTTTGGATATCCAATAGTCCAGTGTATAGACTAGTCAGTAGTCTAATACATAGGCTAGATATATAGTAGTCAATAAAGTAGTCAATAACATGAGAATATAGTTTAGTCCATAGAGTAATTAAAGTTAAAATAGTTGTCAGTAAATAGGCTTTTCTAAAGCCTACACAAGTTCACAGACTATTCAAAAGGCTGATACATAGATAAGTAGACTAGGCAAATAACTATTCAATTTACTCTTACATAGCTTTGTCTACTCCACAGATTAGTCCTTAAACTAGTCAATAAATAAAAAACTAAAAGAAAATTAAGATCTTCTAATCCAATGCAACTTAAATTTTGAACCCAAACAAGATACGGGGCTTGGATTATATCATTTCCCCTGATATGCTATTCTATCTAAAAAGGGATGAAAGCATCTATCTATCTCTCTCTCTCGACGGCATTATACTCATTAGTATTAACAATAATTGTAATTGAAGTTGTTCCAATTACAATTACTTGTAATGTGTAATTTAGCATTAACCAATTACTTGTAGTTAGAAAAACTACTCCAATTACAAGTACTTGTAATGCTTCAAAGACAATTACTTCAAATGTAATTGTTATTGAAAACGTAATCATCAAATGTTAATATATTTGAAAATGTAATCATTACCTCCTACATAAGATCGAGAACCCGTTCTATTTAGAAAAATCAACATTTGTGGTTTTGTCCATTTTGATAAGTCCATTTAAAAAAAATACTCATATACATATGTATGTATATTTTCTAAAAATACCACAACATCGAATATCTAATTAAATTAAACACTTTTCACCTCAACAATATAAATTAATTTGTTGCTGCTTTCCTGCTCTTCACAAATTTTATTTATTTTTTTTTTTTTTGTTTAATCTTTCTTGTGTTTTAAAAAAGTTAAAAATAGAAAGACGAACAGACGATAATAAAATGACCCGTGTCATGATTACGAATTTTCCACGTGAGCGGCTAAAAAAGTCAACAATCAAAAAGAAAAAGCAAAAGTAGAAAAAAAAATTAAACTCAATCTAGGCGATTTAAATGAATGAAGAAATAACGAAGAAGAAGGATAAAGGAGATGATGAAGAAGAAGAAGTACGAGGTGGAGCGGAAGGAATGAATGAAAACCCCATTAATGCTAATGCAAATCAACAACTAAACCATGTGTGGGAGTGTGTGTAGGTGTGTGTTTTCTAACGGTTTTGTAAAATGTCTATGTGTGGCCTTTTCAAAATGTGTTCTATATTTATATTTTTATTGTTGTTGTTGTCGTTAATGTTACTGTTGTTGTATATTTGCTTTATATATAGCAAACACAACAAACTGTTGAGACACATTTTACTTTGATTTAAAACAGTAGCAACAACAACAAAATTACAACATGACACGCACACGCTTACATAGAATATAGAATATATGTATATTACATACATATATGTATGTATATATAAAACATATACAAGCGATTTATTTTCAAAACAACAGCGACAAAAAGCGAAAACGTAAACAGGAGTCTTCTCCCTCAGCTCTGAGTGAGCAATAGTAGACTTTTTAAGTGCAAGAGTAAGTGGATTTGTCTCGTGATATTTTATGAGATTTACCGCCGCTTCATATGAATGCAAAAAAAATACAACTATATAACACATACACATACACCCACAGACAGTTATGCTTACACACGTACAATTACATTATTATTTACAAACAATTTAATGTGTACGAGAGTAAGTACCGCATATTACTTGTCATGTATACTGTTAGACAGACATGAATTTAAATATTTCAAAATAACGAAAAAAAATAGTGGATCATGTTGCACAGTGGCACAACGATTTCTATGTTTACTCTTTGTCCATAGACTAGTCAATAGAATAGGCCATAGACTAGGCTATAGACTAGTCAATAGACTAGGCTATAGGTCAGTCAATAGACTAGGCCCTAGACTAGTCAGTAGACTAGACCATAGACTAGTTAATAGACTAGGCCATAGTCTAGTCAATTGACTTGGCTATAGACTAGTCAATAAACTAGGCTATAGACTAGTCAATATACTAAGCCATAGACTAGTCAATAGACCAGGCGATAGACTAGTCAATATACTAAGCCATAGACTAGTCAATAGACTCGGCTATAAACTAGTCAATAGACCAGGCGATAGACTAGTCAATAAACTAGGCTATAGACTAGACAATAGACTATGCTACAGACTAGCCGATAGACTAGGCCATAGCCTAGTCAATAGACTCTGCCATAGCCTAGTCAATAGACTCGGCCATAGCCTAGTCAATAGACTCGGCCATAGACTAGTCCATAGATCAGGCGATAGACTAGTCAATAAACTAGGCTATAGACTAGTCAATAAACTAGGCTATATACTAGTCAATAAACTAGGCTATAGACTAGTCAATAAACTAGGCTATATATTAGTCAATAAACTAGGCTTTAGACTAGTCAATATAATATGAAATAGACTAGACCATAGACTAGTCAATAGACTAGTCTATGGTGTATGGTATGGTCTATTGACTAGACTAGTCAATAGACCATAGACTAGTCAATAGACTAGGCCATAGACTACCAAATAGAATGGTCCATAGACTAGACCATATACTTGTATATTGACTAGTCCATAGATTACTAAATAGTTCAAAATCTAGTAAATAGACTAGTCAATAGGCAAGTTAATGGACTAGTCCATAGATAAGTCAATTTACTATTCCATAGTAAATAGATTGGTTAATAGGCTAGTTCATAGACTAACCTATGGACTAGTCAATAGACTATGCCATAGACTAGTCAATAGACTATGCCATATACTAGTCAATAGACTAGGCCATAGACTAGTCAATAAACTAGGCCATAGACTAATCAGTAGACTATGCCATAGACTAGTCAATAGACTAGTCAATAGACTAGTCAATTAACCAGGCCATAGACTAGGCTATAGACTAGGCAATAGACTATTCAATATACTAGGCTATAGACTAGTCAATAGGCTATGCTATAGACTAGTCAAAATACTAGGACTAGAAAATAGACTAGACCATAGACTAGTCAATAGACTAGTCCATAGACTAGTCCATAGACTAGTCCATAGACTATTCAATAGACTAGGCCATAGACTTGACCATGTACTTGTATATAGACTAGTTCATAGATTACTAAATAGTCCAAAGTATAGTCAATAGACTTTTCCATAGACAAGTCAATAGACTAGTAAATAGTAATGGACTAGTCCATAGACTTGTAAATAGTCCAAAGTCAAGTCAATAATCCAAAGTCTAGAAAATAGACTAGTTAAAAGACAAGTTAATGGACTAGCCCATAGACAAGTCAATTTAGTATTCCATAGTAAAAAGACTGGTTAATAGACTGGTCCAATTACTAGTCAATAGTCTAGTATATAGGCTAATATATAGACTAGTCAAACAATACCGATATTTAGAAAAGTTCATAAACGACTCCATATATTAGTCCACAGGCTTCTTAATATACTAATTCATAGGCTAACCAGTAGACTAATACATAACCTAGTGCATAGTTAGTCTCTTGCCTAGTCAGTAGATTAATGCACCAGTGTGCAAGGTGTAAGCTTAAAAGTACCTTAATGCAGTGCATTTTTGTTCAATTCGTTGTTGTTGCTATTGTAGCCTCACTCTGCCTACACTTTTAATGCATGATTTGGTTTATAATCATGTTGTTGTTATTGTTGTTTTATATAAAATACTCACACACACACACACTTGTGCTCATTCATTCAGTT